CTCTGTGAATGATCTGTGGATTCAATTCATGCAAATACTGAACACTTTCTAAGATTTGTCGCAATATTTCACAAGAAATGAAATACTCGACACAATCCATGGCTTCTCCTAATTGTCGACCAAATACTTGTGGTTTCACTTCAACAATATTCCGCAGATTCTGTGAACAGAACTCCATTTGAATGTAAAGGTGTTTGCTTTCAGGCCATGAGTTGTAATACTGAACACAATATTCTGGACTTAGTTTTCCTAATGTTTTCACTTCATTATAGACTCGTTGTAAGTATTCCTCAGAAAAGTCTGAAATAATTCAAAATAGTTTCAAAATTATTTTCCATTTTAAAATACCTTTAATTTGGACTCTTTTGACGGCATATATGTGTTCATCGATTTTGTGCTTCACTTTAAATACAGTCCCAAAACCTCCGGAACCGATGGCCGACAATTCAATGAACAGATTTTTGTAATGATTTTCATGCGAATTATGTCCCAATTTTGTTATAACTATTTTGTGAATAAAATATATTAATTATAACAAATACAACAAGCAATCATATTATTTATTTAAAATAAAAACAAATAACAAAATACCTTTATTTGTATTAGTATTATATTGTTTTGGTTTAATATTTGGCGTTTTATTTGTTTTCATTACAGATTCAGAGAGATTTGTGACCATGTTCATATTTATATGCAGTTTATTATAACTTTTTTGCCATTCAGCTGCATAAAAATCTACAAAATTACTATATTTTGTGTTTTGCACTTTTGTTGGTGAGAAAAGTGCGCAAATTGTGTCATCAGTTTGTATTAATACTACATTTCGAACAACACATGAATGCATTTCATCAATCTGTTGAACGTTTAATTTTATTGAAATTGGTCTGGGTAGTATTTCTATTTGGACTTGTTTCATGTCATCAGTACATTTGCCGCAAAAATAAATTATATTACTATTGGATAGAAAACATGTGAAATTATTTTCTTTGTTATATACGGAACAAATAGATTTCATATCATTTAACTGTGGAATCAATTTGGGGGTCAAAATGTTTTTTCGTGATTGATGTCCACATTGATGGTCACTATTAAGACCCCAACTAAACACCAAACCATTTAAAGTAATTGTGAATGAACTCCCGGGACCACAACATATATTTTTCATCTTATAATTGTTTTCAAATTGTATTAAAACTGGTGAACATATTATATTTTTTTTAAAGTTCCCACGTACTATTTGTCCCCAAGTATTAAAGTACCCACATCCTATTTGTCCGCAAGTATTGTCGCCCCAACCGTACGCCTTTCCATCGGTAGTGAGCGCCAGGGAATGCAAAGCACCACAACAAATATATGCGATATTCTTGTCATTTAATTGTGATATTAGTTGTGGTTTTAAATAAACCCCTTTTGGTGTCAAATCTCTAGCACACTGTCCCCTATGATTGTGTCCCCAACTTAACACATGGTTGTCCTCATTTATAGCCAACACAAAGTCCCCGCCATTGATAAACTGTTGGATCCGTTGTCCACACAATTCCCGTATAATTAGTGGTGTTTTTACATCCATGTTATGACCAAAACCCAGATATCCATAACCATTAGCACCCAATCCATAGACGGTGTCATTGTTTGTGACAAATAGCATATTATTTTCAGTATTTTTGTCAAAGAAAACATGAAATAATTTGATTTCCTGTTTAATATTCGTGTCAATAGTATCGCAAATACGAAAATTATCCAAAAGTGTAGACATTTTTCACACAAATTACAAACAAATAAGTTTGAATATGAATTTCAAGAATTAAATACCCATTAAACATATAAACATTAAATTAAAAATTTTTAATTTTTTTAATCTACAATAACTCAAAATGTCGATCAATTGTGTTATGATATATTTGGTGTTGTTATGGAAAATGTGATAAACTTTATACGATTCCATAGAAATGATACGATATTATGAGTGTATGATATATAAAGTGGATCAATTAAATCTGCAACGACCATTTGTTTAATATCTCGCTTATTGGTTATAGCAAAAATTTATGCTCTGGCACACTTAAAGTTTATTATGAGGTAGTAATGAAAAAACAAGAATATTCTGAATGGCATCAAGAATATTCTGTGATATTGGATGATTTGCTGGACCCATAGTCAGCGCAAAGATTACTTATGTTTAAAATTATATGAAATAAGGGTATAGTAGAGGGGATACTATATTTCAACAATATCAAAAAATAATTAAAAATATATCGCATGAATGCTTACAGTTTAACTTTGAAAATTGTCAATTCCGCCATAGACACCCATATGTTTGAAAAATAAAATAAGATATTTGAAAATGTTTTATGCCTATCATATGTGAAATTTAATCCTAATATGACTGGCACAAAAAATTATTTTTTTATATTAACATTTACAGGTTTTATAAATTGTTTTGTAAATCAATAAAGTGCATTTTTCACTCTTTTTATTAGTGTTTTTGTATTTTTATAACCCTTAATAAACCCCTAAAATTTAAAATTTTTTTAAAATCTTTTGTGCTATACAAGTTAGAATTTAATTGTGCTTATGATAGGCATAAAACATTTTCAAAAAATTTATTTCATTTTCCAAACACATGTGACCCTATGGCGGAATTAACCATTTTCAAAGTTAAACTGTAAGCAGGCATGCGATATATTTTTAATTATTTTTTGATATTATTGAAATATAGTATTCCCTCTACCATACCCTTACTCCCTATAACTTTAAACATTAGTAGTCTTTGCGCTGACTATGGGTCCAGCATATCGTCCAATATCACAGAATAGTCTTGTTTATTCATGGCTACCTCATAATGAACTTTAAATGTGCCAGAGTATAGATTTTAGCTATAACCAATAAGCGAGATATTAAACAAATGTTGATTGCCAAACATGTAAGGAACGGTAGATTTATTAAGTTATGTGACTTTGGTTTGGCTGTCGAGCACCGGACGGAAACACAGAGCCACTCAAAAAATAAGGGAACTCCTAAATATATGGCACCAGAATTGTATCAATCTAAGTATACAGTAAAGGTAGACATATTTAGCCTGGGTATTATTTCTATGGAAATGTTCGACATATTATTAGAGTATGTTAAAAGTTTAATTTTATTTATTGTAGATTTTTATTCATTTTATATTTTAAAGGGATAATGAACTGGATAAATATAATTCAACAGTATTTTACGAGAACATACAAAATATATTACAAATATTTGGATCGATGGTATCATTTGGACCAAGTATTAGACCAAGGTGTTTTGATATATTACATAGAAGTGATCAGTGGTCACTTAACAAGGACATTATTGACTCAAATATTAATTCATTTAATAAATTCATAGCTCAACACAATTCCGACGATAATTTGTTTTTTAAAAATATTATAACATATAAATTAAAAATGGACAATGTAAGCAATGTAAATCCAGTCTCGCCACAACATACAAATATAAAACCGGCAACAAATACATGTAATCTAGTTTAATTTGTAATTGAGCAAGAATAGTTAATTATGTTTACAATGAATAGGTGCCATCCCTAAGAGGGTGTCGAGTAGTATATCACGTAATACTGAGTCTAATGTATCGAACGGAAGTATACGTAGTATTCGCGAGAAGTTTGAAAAGTTGTCCCAAAATAGAAAAACTGGGAAATAAAACATCAAAATATTCTCCAATTAAATGTTATTTAATATATTATTAATTTGATACA